GGCTCAGGTCACGATCTCACAGTTCGTGGGTTCGAGCCCCGCATCAGGCTCTTTGCTGACAGCTCAGAGCCTGGAGCCTGCTTCGGATTCTGTGTCCTCGGGGGCTTGGATTCCCTCCCTTGACGGTAGGTGAGGTTTATGTTCTGAGTACTTCCGGTGGCGGTGTTGGTCCATCTCCAGGCATCCTGCCAGCAGCTCAGCGTGGGCTCGTGATGTCTGTGCCACACAAGCATCCCTAGGTGTGTGTGGAGGTGCCACTGTGCCTGCCTGGCCCCGGGAGAGGCACTCGGTGACAAGTGGAGATAGATGTCTTTTTGGCTGTGGTTTCACACCATTGCTTTTTAGCACCAGGCATTTTTGGTTTCTTACAAGTTTCTTTCTGAATACCCCAGATCAGTGGAGTTCCAGTGAGTTTAAGCCAAGGGCTGGGAGGGGAGCTAAGACTGGTAGAACCTGCTCTGTGCAGAGTGCAGCTCCTAGGACAGTGCTGGGTGGGCACCCCTCCCCTGGGTCCTGCACGCTCCCTGAGCACAACACCTTGTTCTCTGCTCTGCAGAGTGAATTGGAGGAGATTGTGCACCTGCTGACGATCCCCTGCTGGCTTGTCATGGCTCCCAGAATAAATCTGAGCTCTTTACTTGTGGCCCCCCGAGCCTCCCTGACCTCAGTTCCTGCCATCTCTTTGACCTCAACCCCACCATCTCCTTCAAAGATTTTTTTTCCCGGTTTTATTGAGCTATAATTGACACAGAACATTGTATTAGTTTAATGGTGGACAACAGAATGTGTTGATACAGGTGTATGTTGCCAAATGATCACCGCAGTACATCTAGCTAACATCCATCACCATACATAGTTACAATTTCCTTCTTGTGTTGACAACTTTTGAGATCTATTCCCTTAGCAACTTTCAAATGTGCAATACAGGATTGTTAACTGTAGTAACCATTGCTGTACCTTACATCACCAGGATTTATTTTACAGCCAGAAGTTTGTACCTCTTGATTCCCTTCACCCATTTCCTCCATCCCCCTGCCTCTGGCAACCACCAGTGTATTCTCTGTTTCTGTGAGTTTGGTTGCTTGTAGAGTCCACGTTTTAGTGAAATCATACAGTATTTGTCTTTCTCTTTCTGACTTACTCCACTTAGCATAACACCCTGAAGGTCCATCCATGTTGTCACCCAATGGCAGGGTTTCCTTCTCTTTTATGGCTCAGTAATATTCGTGTATGTGTGTGTGTGTGTGTGTGTGTGTGTGTGTGTGTGTGTGTGTGTTCCACATGTTCTTTATCCACTTGACCACTGATGGTCACTGAGGTTGCTCCAGTGTGTTGGCTGTTGTGAATAGTGCTGCAGTACTCACGGGGGTGCAGATAGCTTCTCAAGTCAGTGATTTCATTTCCTCTGGTTATGTTCCCAGAAGTGGAATTGATGAATCCTATACGGGACTTGTATTTTTAGTTTTTTCGAGGAACCTCCATACGGTTTTCCATGGTGGCTGCCCCAATTTGTATTCCCACCGATGGTGCACGAAGGCTCCCTTTTCCCCACGTCCTCGCCTTGTCTTTTTGATAATAGCCATTCTAGCGGGCGTGAGGTGATAATCTCATTGTGGCTCTGATTTACGTTTTCCTGATGATGGGACTCCAGATTTTGAAAACTGCTCAAGAAAGGCCATTAGCGGCTTGGGGTGGTGGTTAGGAGCACAGGCTTTGGTCAACGCCTCTGGTCTCCTGGAATGGCGTCCCAGGCCTCAGATCACACTAGTCTTTCTGTTCCTGGAGCCCTCCTGGCTGCTGCCCACCTCCGGGCCTTGCCCGAACCCCCCGATCTTTGTGTGGTCTTCACCGAGACGCCTTCCCCGGAAGCTTCCATGAGCACCCTGTCTGCAGAGAGCTGTAATGGCACATGCTCACCCAGCACTTTCTGTGGAGTCTCCTCTCTGCTCACCCCCACTACTTCTCATCCCACCTTGGCCCAGAAACTGTCGTCAGCCTGTCATAGGTGGGGAGCTGTGGCACCGGCCTTGGGTCACTCCCCCAATCACACCGTCCCTTCATCCTGTCGTGGAGCCCCGTCTCTCCATGGGAAGCCATCTCCTAGATTTTGCTGGTTTATTTGCGCTTATCTGCCTTTCTTCTCATCTTTCCCCTAATGGCACCTCTGTGTGCACTGGGACTTTACGATTGTGGTTGTCTTCACAGCTGGTGATCTCCAGGTTTCATAGGACCTGTTGGGGGGTGGCTAATGCTTGGGTGGCTGCTCTGTGCCAGGCCCGGCCCAGAGGTCAGCACAGATCCACGGTGTTTCCTCCTCACCTGACACCAAAGGCAGTTTTCCCACTGATAGAGAATTATTTCCTTTTTTCCCCCAATGCTTATTTATTTATTTTAATTTTTTAATGTTTATTTATTTTTGAGAGAGAGAAAGAGCGTGAGCGGGGGAGGGACACAGAGAGAGAGAGACACACAGAATCCGAAGCAGGTTCCAGGCTCCGAGCTGTCAGCACAGAGCCTGATGCGGGGCTCGAACTCATGAACTGTGAGATCATGACCTGAGTCGAACTCGGACGCTTAACCGACTGAGCCACCTAGGTGGCCCTCTTAGTGTTTATTTTTGAGAGGGAGGGAGAGAGAGAGAAAGAGAGTGAGAGGGCAAAGACAGAGGGGGACAGAGGATCTGAAGTGAGCTCTGAGCTGTCAGCACAGACCCCGACGTGGGGCTCAAACTCATGAACCGCAAGATCATGACTTGAGCTGAAGTCAGATGCTTAACC